GATCAAAAACCATGTAGTATAATAACATGAATATTGTATAATTTCTATGTTGGGTTCAATGAGATTTATTCTTGAAGATTGCAGCTAAGTTTCAGCTTATCTGATTTAAGGAAGATAGACATTTGTGAAAAGTTCTTTTTTATATTGCAGAACTACTCACCTACTAGGATCAATGACAATTTACCTCTTCTTTCCACGTAAATGTTTCAAGAGTAAAAGCTAACAAACAAGCAATGTTCATGTGTCTCCTCCCCTTGAAAAATATGAAACTAATCACCTAAACTAAATGTATTGCAAACATATAACCATAAACACTCACATATCACTATCGATATTGCGATCACAGAAATTAATTAAGAACAGAGTTTAAGAACATCCAAAATAGCATATTTTCCCAAAATCTTGGTTAAAGGTATACAATCTTATAAGAAAGACCAAGAATACTTTAGATCAGTGGTCGCCAACCAGTGGGCCGGGGACCACTGGTGGTCTGGGAGAAAATTTTGGTGGTCCGTAGAGAAATGTCACTGCCAAAGCAACCCCCAAAGCAATTAATCCAGGCTGAGAGGGAACACAAGGCTGTGCCGCCCACATGGCCCGTGGGAACACAAGGCTTGTGTCACTTGCATTGCGAACAACATGAGGTGGGGAGGGGGTAAAGGGCAGAGGGGGGGAACTTGCCCCACTCACCCCATGTGTCTGGCCTGGCCACTGGGCTGCTTCTTTCAACTTCTTTTCACTTCTTTCTTCTTTTGCTTTTGGCTGCACACAAGGAAAGCAGCAAAAGTCTTTCTCTCCCCCAAACTCGCCAGAAATGAGTCTTTGGGACCCTGCAAGGCATCCTGCTCCAAGAGGCTCATTTCTGGCAGAGTTTGGGGGAGAGAAAGAAAGCTTCTGCTGCTTTCCTTGCATGAAGCCAAAAGTCAGTCAGTCAGTCAGTCAGTCAGTCTCTCTCTCTCTCTCTCCCCCGAGAATGGAGCTGGAGACAGTATCCTGTGATCCCAAATAAAGAAGATCGATCAGTAGGAAAATGGGGTGGGGAATTTTCCTGCAGACTTTTCGGGGGGGATTTTCCCAGGGTCTCTGGTCCACGGGGTTTAAAATTATGAGGTCCAAAAGGTTGGCAACCCCTGCTTTAGATAAACAAATTGAGATTAAAGCCGATCGCAGACCAGAGAAGGACCCTACCTTCCAATGTACATAGTTCCCAAATTTTTTAAAAAAAGTTATTTTAAAAAGTAGCTGAAATCTCAGCAATGTTGCATAAGATCTTTGGATGACATCTCCAAAAATCTTATGAGAAGGCAACTTTTTAAACAAATGTATACATATATTATGTGATCAAGCCACAGTGCAAGATGAAATGACATGGCACAACCCTGTAACTTCAAACTATAATTTGTCTTGAAGTAGACTATGTCAACAGTCTTAGCCAACACGTTACCTATTGAAGTTTTTTAGGCAGAACAATGGTCAGACATGCCCAGGCATATTGTGTTAGTTTTTTAATCACCAGTTTAAAATACAGCTTTACAGAGAAATGATATTCCATAGTTGAAGGATTTAGAGATTACTGCTTACAGTTTCCAGGATGGCTGCATGGGCTGGATCTGACCTCATTATGGGCCAGATCCAGCCCACGGGCCTTGGATTTGACACCTCTAGCTTAGAAGTACATAGCACCATGTACTGTGTTCTGTCTTTCATTTAAATTAGTTTTGTTTTTATTTGTATACACAACTTCAGTATTATGGCACAGAGGGTGGTTTTAAAAGCCTAAATACACACACATCATAAGGGCACACAAATTCTGTACAATTCAGACAAAATACAGCTGCAATAGCAATAGCAATTAGACTTAGCCCTCTCTAAGCAGTTTACAGAATCAGCATATTGCCCCCAACACTCCGGGTCCTAATTTTACTGACCTTGGAAGGATAGAAGGCTGAGTCAACCTTGAGTCGGTCAGAATCGAACTCCTGGAGTGAGCAGTGAGTTAGCCCTGCGGTACTGTCTTCTAACTACAGTGCTACTTACTTTCAATCAGCTTTTCCTTCAAACAAAAGTTCTAGTATTCTCTTTGCTATGACTAGCCGAGGGACAACTTCTCTCAAACTCAATTTCTTAGAATTCAATAACACTAACATGAATTGATATAGACAAGATCATACAGTTCCCAGGCAGGAAGAATAAATATTTATTGGGTGAATTAAAACATACATTTCACCACAGGTTTAAATTTAGTGAGTGAATTTAAAGCAACTCATCCGTGGCTTAACAAGACAAGTAAGCGCTTGCTTCAAAGTCTGTAGAGATTCTCAGTCATCCAGATCATGGTCGTCCCTTTTTTCAAGAAGCAACTGCACTTCCTTGTTTTTTCTTTTGAAGACATTTCGCTTCTCATCCAAGAAGCTTCTTCAGCTCTGACTGGATGGTGGGGAATGGGAGGATTTGATAACCATGGGATAACCATGACCTGGATGACTGAGAATCTCTATAGACTTTAGCTATGCAATTTGGGATAAACACCCTTTCGAATGGTGTGGGAACATGAATGGATTTCCAGAAAAATTGCAGACTACAGGAACCTTTAGCACTAAACTTCCAAGGGCTTAAATGATCTTCAATGATCTTCAAAAAGGATGCAAATGACCAGTTGTCTGCAAGGAATATAAGCTTCAGAAGCTTTCTGGATGAGAAGCTAAACGTCTTCAAAAGAAAAAAACAAGAAATTGCAGTTGCCTCCTGAAAAAGCACTTTTGGGGCTTGCTTCAAAGCTTCTGTGCTTTGGGAAATAATAAAAGGATACAGTATTTCAGAGAAGGCTATCTCTACCTCTCCCCATTTTCTGTTATACGATTGGAGGTTTTTTCAATGAGCAAAAGAAAAGAAAAAATTTAAATTCTTATATCTAATTCCTTCAGTAATCATTTTCATATAATGGATAAAGATATTAAAACTCAGCACTATGCAAATCTGGAATACTATGGTGTAATACAGTGGCCCCCAACCTTTTTTGAACCAAGGACCGGTTTCACGATTATTTATTCTTCCACGAACCAGTACCTGAGTAACGCGAGACTCCACCGCCATCGAGACGGCTCTTCGTTCAAAGCCGCCCCCCCCCTTCGACGAAACTAAGGCGCGAGCACCCAAACGCCGCTTTCCAACTGAAAACCCGGAAGCACTTTCCAACCAAAAACCCGGAAGCAACCGAAAACCCGGAAGCGCCTTCAAAACAAGATGGTGGCGCCCAAGCTTTGCGGCCCGGTAAAAAATGATCCACGGACCGGTACCGGTCCAGGGACCGGTGGTTGGGGACCCCGGTGTAATAGATTAATCTTTAAACTACAAAAAAATTAATAGTTTTTCGCTATAACACACTAATTATGGCAACTATTAGAAAGACAATGTAATGTGATTCATATACCACATTATTATTATTGATAATTGACTTGCAAACATTTTCTAAGCCAGCTTTCTCTGATCTTTCTGTGATCATTCTACTATTTATCACCAGTCCCTTCATTAAACATATCTATTAATTTTAATTTTGGATGTTTCCACTCCACTGTTTATTCCTCAAACTGGCAGCAGCAGTTTGAAAGAATTCTACTATTATTAATTTTTATCAGTCTGAACTGAAAGAGAACAAAGGACAAAGACAATCTGGCGATAACGAAAAGCGTCTTGCCCCACAGAAGAAACAGGACAGATATCAGCATTCTCCTTTAATGAAGAGAAGGGGAAATTAAAACAAAAACTCTTCTCAATATAATTTATTGACATTTCATCTGGGCTATTGAGGAGGAAACTGATGTAGGTTAGCATGCTGGCCAGATTTGATGGGCTTTAGTTTTTGGTAGTTTTTATTGTTGTTTTTCACTTGCTTCTCCCCCCTCTCCCCAGTTCTACATCCAGTATTTCTTTGACAGGCCCCGGCACTCATACTCTGCGAAGACAGGCAAGACAGATGCTCTGTCCACTTTGCAACTACATTTGAGTTTAAAACAAATAGCTCCGCCTTCCGATGTTGCTATTACTGTGGTCTTCAGCTGCTTTCAAAGGGCTCTAGAATCTTAGTAGATTCCTCAGTTCATTACTGCAAGATGCATAACTGCTCTTTTACACCTATGCAAGAAGCAACTCCTTTTTTCAGTCTTTGCTACTTTTCCAAAAAACATATCCTGGCAATTGCTGAGATAGCACATACAATCCAATAGCATCTCAGACAGGCAGTGAGATGCTAAAGAATGAAAACCGGATTTTTACTCAGATACACTTGTGTTCTATACAGATGTCAAAGCTTTAAAGGGCCTCAAACATCTTTTCTACTTCTTGAAACTATTCTGTGTAACAGTTCAGAACTGTGATCCTCAAATTACAAAGGAAGAACAGAAGGTGGCTTACTAAAGCTACCTTATGGCACAGACAAGGTTTTCTGATTTATAGTTCAGTTTCTTAATCGCTATATTGTATAACTATTGAACTAGAACCAGCTATTGCCACTGCAGGAAAAAGCAGCTTCAAACTCCCTTTCCTCTTGCTAGAAACCAACTCCCCAAGTTTCTGGATTTATTTCTTTTCCATGATGATCTTCTGTTGATATGCCAAACAAGAGGCGTGTGTACTATTGACACAAAGGGAATAAATTATCAGTCTTATTGCACACAAAGGACAAAAGCAGAGCACCCAGATACATGGCACTACATATTACTCATTTTGATCAACCCAGTTTGATACATATGGATTCTTCCTAAAACTTACAAGGAAAACAGATTAGGTTAACACAAATTATGCAGCAAGGACACTTCCCCCCAAAAAGGAAGTTGGAAAACTAGAATGTGGAAATATTTTCCTTCATTATGAGAGAGAAAAAAACTTATTTAGTTTCATTTTTACAGAAGCCAAAAGCCACCACATTTCATGACCCATGAAGGACAAGGTTAGAAGCCAAACCATGTTAGATGAGCATGCAGGGTACTGATTCTTCAACTCACCTGCTGTAGGAGGAGGAACAGGAGACGAAGGTGATGTTAGAGGGGAACTTGTGCCAGACCCTGCTGGATAAGAAATATTCACAATTAGCATGAAGGTAATTTCAGTTTCAACATCTATTTTTTTTAGTGAGAAAGAGACTTCCAAACTAAGGGGCACACTCCAAAGTAGTAATATAAAAGGGGCTTTTGGCCAAACTGTATGTACATATATATGGTCAATTTGCTGAATTTATATACCATTGAAATCACAAATAGTTTCTCCCTTAACGCTCTTGTAAATTGGGTCAATTCAGGTCAGAGGCGATTGCTTTGCAGGTATGATAGAATCTGGAGCTGGCTTGCAAGAAGAAGGGGGCTCTTTCTCAAAGAACTAAAAGATATATCACCCTTGAGTCATTGGTATGTAGCAAGAGGCTCGGAAAGGGATCCTCCCTAAAACTTTCATAGGATTTAGCGGATTGTTATGCAGAATGTATTTTCATCAGGCAAGATTCTTGTCTGTAGGCGAACAGCAACTAAGAAACTACTCTGTGCAACTCATCCTGTCATTCTTGGTTTCTTGAAGGACATTAGTATTGCTGTTATTTGTTCCCAAAACCAGGAACCTGTTGATGCACTGTGAACCAACTATAATTTGTGAGTGGCTTTTGAAGGAAGTCCCATGTATTGTCAACACTGCCATGTTTTATGTGGCTAGCAGCGAGGGTACTACCGGTACTCTATACCACGTAAGATCCCAAATGGCACATCAGCTGAAGTTGAGCAACGGCCCTTCTAGCCAAGGCCTCTAATTGTTGTTTCAATAGGACCTGTGAATCCAGGAAAATCCTAAATTGCTAATCTGCTCCTTCAAAGGTAGTGCCTGCTTGTCCAGAGAAAACTGGTTTACAAATAGCTTTGTCTTGTTTTCTCCATCCAGATTTTCACAGCCTCCAAGCCCTGAAGAACATCAATAGCATCTCCCCTCCAACCTGAAGGGGGTGATGTATACCATCAGTATACTCAAGTTAGCACTCCGGTCAGTTGATTGGCCCAACAATTTTATATAGATGTTAAATGGCAGGTGAAAGAGGACTGACCCCTGGTGCACCGTGCATCACATATGGCAAGGCCTATTGGGCTGACTTCTCAACCTTCACCACAACAGAATAAAACTACATATTGAAGGAGCATAACAACTGCAGAAAAGTGCCTCCAAACCAGGATCTTCCATTCCCAATCCCAGCAGGGGTTTTGTCTGCCAATAGATTTGTCTCTTACAAAGGGATTCTGGCAACCTCCAGGACCCAGGGTGTCACATCTCCATGCATTTCTTCAAGCAGCCACAATGGGCAGGGATCCAGAGTACAATTGTCAATAATGTATTTATTTAGCGTATGGTGATGGTCCATTAGCCAGGAGACTATAGGGTTAGTAAGGGACATGGTAGCTCAGTGGCTAAGACACTGAGCTTGTAGATCAGAAAGGTCAGCAGTTCGGCAGTTTGAATCCCTAGCGCCACGTAACAGAGTGAGCTCCCGTTACTTGTTCCAGCTTCTGCCAACCTAGCAGTTCGAAAGCATGTAAAAAAATGCAAGTAGAAAAATAGGGACCACTTTGGTGGGAAGGGAACAGCGTTCTGTGCACCTTCGGCATTTAGTTATGCCGGTCACATGACCACAGACACGTCTTCGGACAGACATCTTCGCTGGTTTTTCGACTTTGTGCTCCATAAAATTGCTAGTCCGTTTGGTTCATGCTCTTGCACTATCCAAAGTACACCACAGGAGGGGAATTAGATCTGTACTCAGAATAGTTAACAGCATTCTGAAACATCATCCAGGGCTTTTCCCTCAACCAATGTCACCTCACGTTTGAGTGCTACATTTGGGCAAGTCTGGCACTGGTCGAGTTTGTACTCAAATTGTGTAGATAGTACTTTATCCATATCCTTAAAATTCTTATCTTCAGAGACTAAAAGGAATCTCCAATAATATAGCAAAATATAGTCACCACCAAGGACTCTGCCCATTAGGAAATAAGACTTCAGCTGAAACTAAAAACATCTCAGCTGGCTTTCAACAGCTTAGCTCTTGGCCTCAAAGAGGTCAATTGCCCAAATCAGATGTTATAAACAGAGATTTGCATGTACATTTGCATGTACACACCTCAGTATTCAAACCATTAGAAATGAAGGGCACAATCTAAATTGAATACTTTATCATGCATATACCAAATATAGCCTAGCTGCCATAGGAACTACTGGAGGAGAGAGCGCTCTTTTGGGAAAGTGGCACTGGTAAGTAATCCCTGCTCTTTATTTTCATCATAGGAAAGACTAAACATCATGAGTTTCTACAGGTGAAACTCAAAAAATTAGAGTATCGTGCAAAAGTTCATTTATTTCAGTAATGCAACTTAAAAGGTGAACCTAATATGTGAGATAGACTCATTACACACAAAGCAAGATAGTTCAAGCCATGATGTGTCATAATTGAGATTATGAAAATCCCAAATCTACAATCTCAGAAAATTAGAATATTGTGAAAAGGTTCAATATTCTAGGCACAAAGTGTCCCACTCTAATCAGCTAATTAAGCCATAATACCTGCAAAGGGTTCCTGAGCCTTTAAATGGTCTCTCAGTCTGGTTCAGTAGGAATCACAATCATGGGAAAGACTGCTGACCTGACAGTTGTGCAGAAAACCATCATTGACACCCTCCATAAGGAGGGAAAGCCTCAAAAGGTAATTGCAAACGAAGATGGGTGTTCCCAAAGTGCTGTATCAAAGCACATTAATAGAAAGTTACGTGGAAGGGAAAAGTGTGGAAGAAAAAGGTGCACAAGCAGCAGGGATGACCGCAGCCTGGAGAGGATTGTCAGGAAAAGGCCATTCAAAAGTGTTGGGGACTTTCAATGAGTGGACCGAGGCTGGAGTCAGTGCATCAAGAGCCACCACCCACAGCCAGATCCTGGACATGGGCTTCAAATGTCGTATTCCTCTTGTCAAGCTGCTCCTGAACAACAAACAACGTCAGAAGCATCTTACCTGGGCTAAAGAAAAACAGAACTGGTCTGTTGCTCAGTGGTCCAAAGTCCTCTTTTCTGATGAGAGCAACTTTTGCATCTCATTTGGAAACCAAGGACCCAGAATCTGGAGGAAGAATGGAAAGGCACACACTGCAAGATGCTTAAAGTCCAGTGTGAAGTTTCCACAGTCTGTGTTGATTTGGGGAGCCATGTCATCTGCTGGTGTTGGTCCACTGTGCTTCATTAAGTCCAGGGTCAGCGCAGCCGTCTACCAGGAGATTTTGGAGCACTTCATGCTTCCTTCTGCAGACGAGCTTTATGGGGATGCTGACTTCATTTTCCAGCAGGACTTGGCACCTGCCCACAGTGCCAAAAGCACCAAAACCTGGTTCAATGACCGTGGGATTACTGTGCTTGATTGGCCAGCAAACTCGCCTGACCTGAACCCCATAGAGAATCTATGAGGCATTGCCAAGAGAAAGATGAGAGACATGAGGCCGAACAATGCAGAAGAGCTGAAGGCTGCTATTGAAGCATCCTGGTCTTCCATACCATCTCAGCAGTGCCACAGGCTGATAGCTTCCATGCCACGCCGCATTGAGGAAGTAATTGCTGCAAAAGGGGCCCAAACCAAGTACATATGCAGGCTTATACTTTTTAGAGGTCCGATATTGTTCTATGTACAATCCTTGTTTTATTGATTACATGTAATATTCTAATTTTCTGAGATTGTGGATTTGGGGTTTTCATGAGCTGTAAGCCATAATCATCACAATTATGATAAATCATGGCTTGAACTATCTTGCTTTGCATGTAATGAGTCTATCTCATATATTAGTTTCACCTTTTAAGTTGCATTACTGAAATAAATGAACTTTTGCACGATATTCTAATTTTTCAAGTTTCACCTGTATATATTGGAGCTACCATTACGAAGAAAGCTTCCCCACGCCACAACCTGAACAACAGCAAGTCGAGACTATGACAAAAATAGATCACTTTGGTGCCATGTATCACAGGAAAAGCCACACTTGGTTACCTGAATTGTTTGAGTTGCTGTATTTCATCGATTGATCCTCTCCACTCTCAAAGGCTGAGCGTTTAGATTTCTTCAAACAGCAGAAAGAAAAGATTCATTAGTTTCCGTTTGCTTGATAAATTGCTATTCATACACCAGGTTGCTACCGGATAAGGTTTTATTACACAACTCCTTTTTCTTCCAAGAACTTTCCTAAGAATAATTAAACTGTCTCCCACTTGTAGCCCTTCCTTGCTTTCTATCCATTTTTTCTGATTTCCTAAGTTACCAAAAAGAAAAGTATGAAAGGGGATTAAAGATTTTGATTGGTAGCACTAGCCATGAGAATCATTCTTGATTTTAATCTGCCATTCATTCCATTCCATTCTAATTTAAGTAATGTTAACCCTGTTAGCATTTACTGTACAATTAAGCATGGTTTGGGTTTGCAGACTATGAATAGTAAATGAACACCAAAGTTTAACTGCAGTTGCTGCTCATCAGCATTAAAGTTGCATTAAAACTTGGAGTCCAAGTCTTCCCATATCATCACATTTGATAACTGACATTTTTTCCTTATGCAGATAATGTGGAAAAGAGATAGGTGTCACTTTACAGGAGCAGAAAATTTCCTGCAAGTGCGGATTTTTTTCATGGAAAACTCTTTCTAGGAGTATTAAACTGGCTCAGAATAATGTGATATGCCACATGAATATCAGATGACTAATACACACTGAGAGCTGCTATTTCAGGATATAATGTCTATCTTTTGATGAGCATTTCTACACAAAAAAAAAATGAAACTATAACTTTATCTTAAGAAAGGAGTACAGGTGACATAGGGTTATTGCAAGTCAACGAGGAATGGCAATATCCAAATATCTAAATCCCAGGTTATCCCCAAAAACTATATGGTTTTCCTCACTAGATTTTGGAAGAAAAGAAATTCACTTTTCAAATTTTCTACAGTACTTCAAATTCTTCAAGGGAAGAGTTGATATAGTAGTTCATGATTGTTTAAATATTTGATAAGAAAACTGGTTGGAAATATGCTGCGTTTATTTTAAATTGGGCTGGGGCTTACTTTCCGTGCCAATATTTTCCTCTTTTTTTTCTCTTCCTCTGAGCCATGATGCGACTGAGCTCTTGTCAATCTTCTGTGCTGATGAATCTTTCAGGGGGAAAAGAAAAGTATGGACTTAGGACAAAGCATGCTACATTTTAAACACTAATGTCTCCTTAAATCTCCTTTGGTACATTTATTTATTGGTTGGTTGGTTTGTTTATTAAATTTCTATGCTGCCCATCTTGTCAGAGACTTTTTTTTTCTTAAAATGACTTTTGTTTCTTTTTATCAAATGGATGAATCCTCAAGAACAGTCATCTAATGCTGCTGTCATTGTTTCGTTAAGTAGAGGACAGGCCTCTCCATGAAAACACAGGCAATCATGTTTGCACGTTATTTGCTGTGCTTCTTATTACAGCATATTACAGATTTTAACTACGGGAGCATAGAATAACATTTGTAAGTTACCAGTTTCTGTTCTTCTACTAGCCTCTTCTCTATACATTCTTTGGCAATTCTTAAAGCTTCTTTTAATTTGGCTGGAATCTGATAAAGAGAGAAAAGTTTTCAAAATTACAGTCATAGAAACCGACACCCTATGGATATTTCCATGTTAATTAATAATCAAAGGAAGCACTGTGGCAAAAAAAAGGGCTTATCTTTGCATAAGAGGCAAATTTATTCTGATTAATTTAATACAAAGCGGGATTTTCTCTCCATAAAGAAGGGTAAAGTAAGATCAGAAGCAGAAGAACTAAATATTGCAGTAGTGAAAATATTTACTGAAATAAAAGGAAGAATCAGTTAAGTTTATTAATGATTTCAAAAATGGTAATTTTTGTTCCATTCTATTTTATTCCATTCTATTCCTCCCCTGTCTTACTGAACCATGTTATGTGAAAGTCTCAATTCAGTGAAGTCACAATGGGTACCAGAGTTCAATATTTATGGTCCATCTCGTGATGCTCATGCCTAGTAGAATGCTGTATTGCAACTTGGAATGTAAGCAAAGTAAACTGTAAACAGCATGAATTATCACATGAAAGAGTGAGAAAGAGTGGGTCTCTGTGATGCTAAAAGCGGAGAAATGGAAAAGGTCTGAATGCAATCCTGTGTTGTAGAGTTGATGAATTTGTGCAAGAAAGTACAAGCATAGCTTTAATTAAAAATAAATATGCTAATATGTATGTTAGAACACAGGAACCACCAAGATTGTTATAGATGCGGTAGGAAATCAGAGAGGTGTTATAGGCACGTTACACTCTCGTGAAAGATATAACAAAAGAACCAGATATGAGTTTTAGGAGAAAAAAGTGCATCATTGTGAACAAATAAGATCCAAGGAAAAAGCTTTTCATTCATTCTGACATACAAATGAATTGTATGAAAATGAGTATTTATTTATATCCTGCCTTCATTATTTTCATAATTAACTGAAGGGAGCAAACATATCCAAGATGCTTTCCTCCTATTTTCCACACAACAACAATCCGGTGAGGTGAGGTGGGCTGAGAGGGAGTGGGTGGCCCAAAATCACCCAGATGGCTTTCATAGCTACAGCTGGACTAAAACTCACAGTCTCCTGCTTTCTAGCCTCATTCCTTAACCACTAGACCAAACTGACAGTTCCTATGAAATGAGTGGAAAAGGATTACTAGTCTGTTTAGAAACTCCAAAATAAAAGAGAGGAATGGTTTAGAATAAAATCGGTTTGTTTTGAATACATGGCAGACTTAGTAGAAGGCACAAGTGTGATCAGAGGTTTTGTGGGACACACCATTCATTTCTTGATAGCATGAACATCAGGCTTTAGAAAAAAAACACAAGAAAAAGGAAAACGGTGAAAAAAGTGAAAGTGGAGGAACTTCAGGAAATGAAAGTACAAGTTTTGTATGAAAAAGTAGTAGGAGACAAATTTCTCCCCCAATAGAATGAATGGGAAATGGGCATGGAAACTTCACGGGACAAAAATGAAAAAGAAATGTTTACATAATGCAACAGAAGATGTTAAATTATGCTACTAAGAAATATACAAAAGGCTGTGGAATGGAATGATAAAGTGGGAGACATTGATGAGAAAAATGCCCACAAGTGAAAGATAGATAAAGAGGGAAGAAAATGATATAAATTGTACAAAGAGAAAGTTATAGTTTCAAAGAATGTGGTCAAAGAGAGCAAAGGGCAGTTAAAATTAAAACAGAGAAAGGGTGGAGTGATTTTTATGGAAGTTCAAAATTATTGGAGAAATAAAAGAAAAATATATAGAAACTAAGTTAGGATTAAGTCAGTTTAGCACTACAGAATTGCTAAAATCCCGAAAAGATCAAAGTCTGGTGCTGTTTTGAAGCAGATGCAGAATCCTAATGTGAAAGTGACCTAAAATGACATGACGATCTAGAACAATTGCTGGAGAGATAACAATGAGCTAATAATAGGATGTTGTGTGAAGCACTGCTAGATAAAACATACTACCCAAACCAAATAATATCATTCAAACTGTACCTTAAACTGTGTTTTTTCTGAATTTGTTAGAAGAACATCACTGAATAACCTAATGGAAATTTTTTTAAAAAAAAATCAAGTTACCTAGAAGAAAGCATAACCATCTTACAATTTGCACTTTGACTTAAATTGTTCCTTTTGCACAAACTTACAGGAAATGTACGTGATTTTAAACTAGTCGGGCACTGCAGCTTCAATCAAAGTCTATATAGGTAGTCTTCCGACTTATAACCATTATTTTAGTGACGGTCGAAGTTACAACAGCACTGGAAAAAAGTGACTAGGGACTGGTTTTCCCATTTACAACTGTTGCAGCCTCCTCGTGGTCACATGATCAAAATTTGAGGACTTGGCAACTGGCATGTACTTATGCCAATTGCACCATCCCAGCATCGTGTAATCATCATTTGTAACCTTCCCAGTCAGCTTCTGACAAGCAAAGTCAATGGGGAAAGCCAGATTCACTTAAGGGCCTCATGATCCACTTAACAACTGTAATGATTTGCTTAACATCTGTGGCAAAAAGGTGGTAAAATGGGGCAAAAATTGACCTAATAACTGTGTCCGCTTTGGAAACCATATTCCACGCTGCCATATAGTTTGAGAAAGTGGGAGGGGGCGATTTCTATTGAGTAGTTCTAAGTAGACAAAATAAAACTCTGCTGTTAGTTCAAGGTTAAGGCACAGGATGAAAAAAGGATCTTACACTGGGACGGATCCTGATTGGTCCATGTGATGTGATGATGGAAAAAGGGAATGGATTGTAAGTTGGGACATTGTGGGAAGTCTGGGGAAAACTTTTAGTTTCGATATTCCACAGATGTGCTAGGTGCTATTCTAATAAAGGTACTTTTGAGATTATGCTTGTCTCGGAGTTACTGATTGGAGTGGAGGTTCCCTGGAACACTGACAAACTGGCTTGAAGTAACAACAGAAATGTTGGGCCCAATTATGGTCATAAGTTGAGGACTTATATTCTGCTTAGGTTTCTGGTTCTTCAAATCATTTCTCAATATCTCAATGCTCTACTTTTTTGCTGTAGACTTACGGCATTTGTAGCAGCCTGGAGACAGTTGGCATACCGTTCTTCATGGCCTCAGGAGAAATAACAGATTCTAAAACAGTCACTAAAAAGAGAAGAGAGGAGGAACAGAGATTCTAATATAAAGTTGGACACAATGCACCATTCTCATATAGGCCTTACAGTATCTTTTTAAAAATTAGATTATGAACTTGGCTCAGAGGCTTCATTGACTTTTAAGTTAGCAAAAGATAAAATTTATTGTACAGGCTACAATCACATATTGGGAGAGAACTGGGGGCGACAGATTAAAACTTTCCTCCACACATCTCCTACCACCAGCCCCAAGATCTAGCTTTTCATTACAGAAAAATATCTATGTAGCCTAAGTATTCTAAGCACCTGAGGGCAGGACAAAGAAGCAATGGGTGGAAACTAATCAAGGAAAGAAGCAACCTAGAACTAAGGAGAAATTTCATGACAGTTAGAACAATTAATCAGTGGAGCAACTTGCCTCCAGAAGTTGTAAATGCTCCAACACTGGAAGTTTTTAAAAAGATGTTGGATAATCATTTGTCTGAAGTAGTGTAGGGTTTCCTCCCTAAGCAGGGGGTTGGACTAGAAGACCTCCAAGACCTCCCTTCCAACTCGTTATCCTATTCCTATTCTATTCCTATTCTTGCCTATGGCGCTTGGGATATACCCTTGATTCTATCAGGAGATGATTCTACTCTCTCATGTGCTTTGACTTATATCTTAGCCTTAACATATGGATTAAAATTATATGAATAATTCATGTTTCTGTTTAAAATAAGATGAGCATTGATCCAAGTTTTTCACTGACCTACAGACATGGATGGTGCAGGAGGGAAGCTATCCATGGGAATAGAATCTGGGGGTCTCCCATATGTCATTTCGTATAGCAAATGTCCAAAGCAGTGTACATCTATAGCTTCTAAAGTCTACAAGAATGAAAACAAAACAGACTTGGTAGAATAATTTAACAATATCACATTCTCAGTTTGGATGAGTGATGCTGAACATTTAGGACCCAATTATGTGTGGGGGTAAATTTAAAAGTATGAATGGTAAACATCAATACACATGGACTTATTTAGAGCAAAATCTTGCTAAAGTGGAGATTGAAGATATTTGGGACACCTAATTTTTCTAGTCCCATACATGGAGAATGCTTGATGAAAACAAAAGAGATGGAACTGTGGGAGACTACTCCATACTTTGGAATTTTTTTATTTATTTAAATTAAGGTTGCCTGTTCCAGCAGATTTTAGGTAGCTTACAAAATCCAATCTCCTACCAAAATAGTAAATCCTATGAAAATGTTCCTATTTTTGTAGGCATTTGGTATTCATGCTCAACAGTATCCTTTTAGTGTATTTTAATTATTCAATTTACGTTGTTATTATAATTTTGTCTCTTAAAATATATTGTTAGTTACTTGGAGCAGTGTTTCTGATGGATTACAATAATTATAAATTGAACAAACAGATCTTTGAAGTAGTGCAGGGGTCTCCAAACTTGGCAACTTTAAGACTTGTGGACTTCCAACTCTCGGAATTTCTCACCCAGCATGCTGGCTGGGTAATTCTGGGAGTTACAGTCCACAAGTCTTAAAGTTGCCAAGTTTGGAGGCCTCTAGAATACAGTACTGTAATGTAAGAAGATTCATATATATTTAGGAGATTCTGCTGGCTCTTAAGAAACTCGAACAAAAGAACACTGATACATTTTTACACCGTTTGTTCAATAAGACTTTTAATTATAAATATGAAGTACAAGTCAAGATATCCTCTGTCTCTCTGAAAGAGCTCTTACACAAAAATAGGTGATTTTAGGATTAGCATTATAACAGAGCTAGAAAGCCTTTCCTAGTTACTTAAAAAAATCCCTCCGCAAACTGTTATTATCCTTAATCGCATAATACTAGGATGCACAATTTTGAAACACAAAAATTACACCCATCCGAGTTGTGTCTTGCAAATCATGCCCACAAACTAACTACGCCAAAATATAAATTAAAATTTATCTTTCCAAGATAAATTTTGGCCTTTGGACTACAGGTTGTGCATCTCATTTAATAAGTGAGGTCTCCATAACTACATCTTTAGGAAAAGACAACTGGCATTTGTGCAGCCAATGAATTGCAACTGTATGCTTCTTGTGCACTAGAAGATTAATCTGGAAAAAAACGGGACTGTAAAACTGCATTTCAGTTAGAAGATAATAGTTCTTATTTTGATGCTTCTAGTCGCCATTTGTGTAAAATTTCCTGTTCTTTTTCTTCCTAAACTGAAAGATGAACTCTTCATGTTGAACACAAAAGGCCAGAAATGTATGATTTACTTTGTACTTCATGTTTATATGGAGTTGTTAAGCTCTCAATAGGCCCACTCAACCCATTGGTCATAGGAACCAGGGTACATGATTAAACTACCTTAGAGAAGCATAATATATGAACCAATCCAACATTTCTGTATGCTTCTTGGATTAAATTACTTTTCTCGCAACATTAGAAAATGGTTTGCTTTGTTTTAAATAGACTATTGGCATGTATCACATTCAAAATTAATTCCCATCTGCAAAGATATTTGCTTGCACTTACATTAATTTTACGGAATTGTGTGAAGTAGGATCGGTAGAAGGACGGGAGCCCCAGTAGAGAATTCTCCAAATCCAGTAATCTACACGTGTCCCCTTCCAACACAACATTGGAAGCATGAAGGTGACCATATGGGAATCCTTTCTCATGCAAGAACTTTAAGACCTAGAACACCAAACACAAAAAATGTTTCAGTCTGACAATCAGAAAATAAACATCCATCTACAGCATTTTGCCATAGAGATATCCCAGCTTCAAATGCTAAAAACACCCACTGGGGAAAACAGATGGCATTCATTTAATGAGCAAGGATTCGCTTAATGACTACTACAAAAAGGTTGCAAAATCAGGCACAGTCATATGGTAGTCAGCTTAACAACCTCTACGACTTATAATTAATTCTGGGTTTAGTGATGGTTATAAGCAGGGGTGGGTTTCTACCGGTTCTGTCCACCTCTGTAGAACCGGTAGCTCTGAAGAGCAGCAGACATAAAACCGGTTCTATGTCTGCTGATGTTTTTGCCCACCCGGGCTCTTACCTGATCTTTATTTCCTGATTTTTCAACTTCAGCTGCCGAACAAGGCACAGCTGCAGTTACAAAAGCAGGAAAACAGGACTGTTTCAAAGGCTGTGTCTCTGCACACAGCATGCTGATGACCATTTACAGGCGCGCGGCTCACAGCGTGCAGGGAAGCTCATAAATCCCGAACCAGTAGTTAACCCTGTCGTATGCCACCCCTGGTTCTAAGTCGAGGATTACCTGTATCAAAGTTTCATCTCATGTTATCCATAGCAGGCTATATTGTTTCCCTCTAAAGCCAACACTGTGTTCCAAATTTGGCATATCTCCCTTCTGAATTTTTTGATTAGTTTTATTTATATAACTAAGATATATCAGATGATTTAGAGAAGGATCTAGTGTCATTTCTTTCAATACCTTTTTTTTATCCTAAGTATAACAAGAAAGGACAAAATTCTCTAAAAAGCTGGAGGGGCGGGAGGTTTAGACACAAAAGTTGTGATTTTAACTTATATAATGTTACAATGGTACAGTGAAATATAGTGTTTGGTACACTTGTTATCAGCCTCTGACAGATGTAATTTTTTTGGTCTTTCAACTGATCATGACTTGAAACCATATAAAAATTCATGTAGAGGATTAAATCTTTTTTACCTCCAATATTTGTCGGCCAAATGTTTTAATTTGTTGAAGTTCAAGACCTTGAATTTTCTTCGGGTTGCAGTACTTCTTCAGAAATGGATCTTTTGGTTTTGCCTTTCAAAAGAAATCCCTATTATGGTTACAAGTTTCAAATATATATATATAAAAGATCCTATTGCTAATAGCAGATAAAAAGATTCAGAATTGACACACCTCAACTATGATTTCTTTAACTATTTAAATATGGTTAATCATTAATGAATGTTGAAATTCCCTGGGTATCCCAGAAATGTAGGTTTATTTGTACATTAAACAAGACTTTTAAAAGAACACAAGAATTTACTTTGGTTTGAGACACCAGTATAATAACAGAGGCAATATTAAGTGCAGAGCCTGTCTCTTGGATAAAAGAGAAAATGCCCCTGAAGACGGTACTTTCCAGCTCAATGCTGTGTATATTTATTTATTTATTCAATTTTTATAGTCGCCATCTCAGCCAAATGACTATGTATGTGTGTATATGTGTATCTAATGAATCAGGATTTACCTTGGAGTCAGGAGGGACCTTGGAGGTCTTCTAGTCCAACCCCCTCCTCCCTACTCAAGCAGGAAACCCTATACCATTTCAGACAAATGGTTATCTATGTCAGCGTTCCAGGGAAAATCTATTCCTGTCAGTAACTCCAAGACAAACATAATCTCAAAGTACTCTTATTAGAATAGCACCTGGCACATTCTGTGGAATTCCAAAACTAAAAGTTTCCCCGGACTTCCCACACTATCCCAACCTACAAACCATCCCCTTTTTACTCATTATCACATCACATGAACCAATCCCAAAGTAAGTTCCGATTCTTTCTGCGCCACAAGCTTTAACCTTGAACTATCAAAAGAATTATATTTTGTCTACTAAGAGCTACTCAATTAACATCACTCCCTTCCCACTTTCTCCAGCTATGTGGCAGCAATGAATCACGATTCCATAGCTGGCAATCTAATCTCTTCTTCAAAACCAGGGTTAAAGATGCTGGGAGATGAAATTCCCCAGAGTGCCTATTATAGAAAGGGAGGATAAATTTATGTGTATTTTACTGCCCACAAAACAGAAGAACTGTTATTAATTTATTAAATGTTTACATCTCCCAGCATCTCTGGATGGTTTACACTTACAAACACAGAGGATGATAGAATACCACAAAACAAAAGGTAACACCAAAGCAAATATATTAATTAAGCTGTACTCTTAATCAGTTAAATCCTAAATATACAGTACATGTTGCAAATGTATAAATTATATCGCCAAAGCCATGTTATGCACATTACCTTATAAATAAGGTCTTTTAGAGTTCCTTTTTCACTGAAGTGTCTAATTACTAGTGCAGAAGATTCACTGGCTGTGGCAAAAATGATTTTGTAAATATAAGGATGCTGTCCAGAAAAGAAAATGAATTAACATTACCTTCATGGAATACATATTTACATAAAATGTTTCCCAATCCCCATTCCTCAGCAACTTAAATGAGACTAAGTCCTGCATTGGAGTGCATACGATTGCAATTCAAAATATACTTTAAGTAGGCTTTGATAAAACTTTTGTCTAAGTTGGCTTGAAGCATACAGACTAATACTAGTCATATTATAGATGTGAAGTAGTAATACAACTTTAGCCTCTGAGCTTAAGGCAGAAAAAAGCTTTCATTTTTAAAACATAAAATAAAAATCTTCTAGTGAAAATCTGCAACTGGAAGATTGGGAGGAAATGAGATAAGGACAAGAGATCATTACGAAGAATCAGGGTTTCTTCTTCATAGGTTAACTCAGATGGTAATCTATAGGCCAGTCTCTAAAATCAAAATGAATCATGGACAAATCTTCATTGGTGACCTCTAAGTAATCTATGTACAAATACATATTTGCCTGTTTAAAGCTAATTAACTACTTACCGAACAGGAAGAAAGAAGCTTGACAGCACATTGAAGATCTCTGTCAGCTAAATATTTATCTGGACCCAGGTCAGCCTAAAAATATTTATATATTAAATGATGTGATGCATAAAAATATTGCTATGTTTAAATTATTTAAACATTTACTTTTGACGTCATTCAAAAATTGATTTTTCTCCCTTAAGAATACAGAAACACTTGAGATATGTGAAAGCAGATAAAATGATCATATAAATCCCATTTATATGATCCCAAATGATTATATAAATCCCATTTTCCCTCTTTTGTAAATGCAACTGGACAAGACAGAAGAAGGAATTTTGCTTGTCACGGAGGGAGTTTTAACTGATTCTAAAAACAGAATACGTCTAGGAATGCAACAGAAAATATTGTCACAGTGTTCAGGATCCATATGCTACATAACATAACATAACTTGCAAAGATTGTAGAGGAAGGAACCAGCTAACCTCGCTAATCCTCGAATTACTACTGTAATGTAGCCTATGACAGTCATAGGTTTTTATTTCCTGTAAGCCCCCTTGAGTCGCTGTGACCAAGTAGGCGGCAATATAAATTTTCCAAATAAATAAGTCATAACAGTTGTAAAGCATGACCGACCCAGATTTTACAATGTTTTTGCAGGGTTGGTTAAGTGAATGCAGCAACCGTTAAATGCAAATGCGCAGACATTAAAAGAACAAGGTGGTTGTAAGGATGAACCTATTGTTTCACATTGGTATGGTTTGGCCCAAAACCAGAAGTGCTAGTCAATCACAAACACTGTCACATGATGAGGGGGAATAGCGGCCAAGTTGCCAAGTGCCTGAAGTGAAGTCACGTGACCGCAGGAAGGGGGAAGGAGATCATTGGAACTTCAGATCCAGGTCATAAGCACCCTTTTCCAGCTAGGTTGGTACCCTCAAACAGTTGCTAAGCAACCAGTCATAAGTCGTACACTACCCGTCTCTTATTTAGCACTTGTTTTCCATTTCTCCAATTGCTTTCCCAGTTTAGCAACAGAATAATTGCCAATCAACACAAGGTGGTCTCTTTATATTCCTCATTCTTAACGTCAGGAGGCAGGGTTATTTTTTCTTTACAGTAAACAAATTATCTAGCACTCCATTATTTTTGTATAATGTTGATTTAGCAAATCAGTACTGTACAAATTATATTATCAGTACTGTACAAATTATAACCTGACTGAATATGTTGTCTAATCTCTCTGCCGATTAATATCTTCTCACAAAAATCAACTCTTCAAGATAACCAAGGTCAAGAAACAGACCTGCAGGAATACCAAGAATCATATTTTATCGTTGTAAGATATAATAATAGATTCTTGAAAGCCTGTCCTAGTTTTTCTTCTATCTTATACTAAAGAAAATCAAAATGACTAAACTGCTGAAATGAGTAAACTGACATTTGAAGTTAGAGAATAAGAAGATAAGCAATTTTATATGATATGGGATTTGTTTTATCAATGGTTGGATAAAAAGGCATGGTAATATAATAGACTAGATAATTTTGTGATAGAAATCTAATAGATTGATATAAAACATAATACAGATATATACAACCACTGGTTAAAAGTATAACATAAATTTTAAGATAAAATGTGGAACATCACGTATAAAATGATGGAATAAATAGTTTAGTCATGGATGATTAATAACTGATAAATATATAAACATATGTTAGTTTGACAATGTGAAGATTGATATAAATTGTGAGTAAATGACTACAAAAGTATAGCACAAAAGATACGTAACCAACTGACACACTGTATGTATATAAAATAGAAGAGGATTTTAAAAAAAAATCAAAATGGATCTATTTTCAGTTCCTGTCTCATGTTTTCTTGGTTCTCTAGATGATGCAATTGTTTTTTAAGTGCCTTTACAACCACTATTTCATATTTTCCCCAAAATATTTCCTCACTAAACTCTTTACAATGGCACAGTAGTTGCTTAACTTTAGAGACAGTGTTCAGAGTTTTCTTTTAAAAGTTAGTCTCATGCACATAAAGCAAAAATCAAGGTTGCAATTTTGGTAAGAGATAATGCCCCCCCCCTACACAAAAAACAAACTAACCCAACTTAGGACTAGTCGCTCCTTTGGTTGATTCTTAATCTTCATTAAGAAATACTTCTTTCGGATCCTCCAGCCTGAAAAACCATATAATTCATCAAAATATGTTAAAATTAGTTGTAACTGCTGTACATCATGCAATGTAATACACTTGTGAGAATGTGGGGGCATACACAAGAGACAGAAATAGAGAGAGGAAGAAGGGGAGAGAGGGGTATTACAAGTAGTCCTCGACTTATGATCACAATTGAGCCCAAAATTTCGGTTGCTAAGCTAAACAGTTAAGTGAGTTTTGCCCCATTTTATGACCTTTCTTGCCACAGTTAAGCGAATCACTGCAGTTATAAAGTTAGTAACATGGTTGTTATGTGAATCTGGCTCCCCATGGACTTCGCTTGTCAGAAGGTTGGAACATGTGACCCCGGGACACTGCAACCGTTGTAAATATGAGTCAGTTGCCAAGCGTTTGAATTTTGATCACGTGACCACGGGGATTCTGCAATGGTACTAAGTGTGAAAAACGGCCATAGGTCACTTTGCAAAGTTACAGTGTAGCTGTTGTAATGTTGTAAGTCGAGGACTACCTATAGTAGCATTGAAAAAAACATTTTAATTTTTTTACTTCTGACTGTACAATTCAACAAGGCACATTCCAAAATAAAAAGGAGAGCTGCTGTTTTAAAATACGGTGCAAAATTTAACATTCAGTAGCATAATATGGGATAAGGGTCCAGTCCACACTTCCAGTTACTAAGATCTTAAAGACCGGAAAGACACTTTGACGTAAGGTCCAAGGAAGATACAAAAACACAGCAATTTGTAAATGTTTGTTTTATAGATTAGGACTCTGCTTGGTGGAAGTAGGGAAGAAAGATAATTTGGGGATTTAAATCCTTTGTCCCCTGTTGAAGTCTAGAGGTGGATCTATAAGGATAAATCAAATGGCAGCAGAAATTGATTCTGCTGCCATTTGATTCTGACAATCAGGAATTGCATCAAGTATGCTCTCTATGTTTGCTTACAAAGCAATCTATGTTACAACACAAAACACAATATAGAGGTGGACAGAGCAACAACATATTCTGATGTCTGTGATGTATAACGAATGTTACATATCTAATAAAACTAATGTTCTTACCAATATCTTTTAATGGTTCTACCACTTCCCACTTTGGTTCCGACCGAAAAAACATTGAAACATGCTGTAAGGCAATTTCTGCAGAGAGAGGGATTTCAAAAATGCTATTTCAATATTGACAAATGTCTACAGTAAAGTTAATTTCAACTTTAAAATTTTATCTGTGTGCCAACATTCAATAGTAAGTTATCTCTAGGTTGGCTGATAAAGGTTAAACTAAAATTGGAAAGTATATCTACAAACAACATGATATAGGAGGAATTTTCAAACAATATGGATGAAGGTATCATAACATATTTTTCCAATTTCATCAATACAAAATACTAGAAAATACATGTATAATTTGTGTGGCCAAAAAAGCCCTGGATTTTGTACATAGGCATGCATGTATCAGATCTTGAGAAAATATTTGTATATTTCTTATATTCTTATATTTCTGTAAGGCAACACATATTTTCTATCATGCTGGTTCAGTGAATTAATAAGCATGTATGGGCTTCCCCCCAGCCAGCCATGCCAAGAAGTGAGAAACATTGCAAACTGAGAGACATGTTTAGAGATATACAGAATCCAGGCACAGAAAATCCTGCATGAGATACAGCAAGATATTCTATAACAGTTTCCAATTATTTTTTGAAAGGACACGTTAAGATCAAATGCGAGGATAATGTCTCATCTGCCTGAAATATATACTATTCACTAAATTTCCTTTAGTATGATTTGCCAGCATGGAGTTCAGTAATGATAACATTCCGTGAATAAACACTGAAGCCAGAATCACAAGGGAGTCCAGGAAATTCAAAAGCTACAGGCAGCATTCCACTCTCAGATCATCCTACTGCGTTCAGGTGTTTCATCTTTGAACATGAAAGCAATGCTCAGTGGGGGTGAAATCCTTGAGCTGTGAAATGCTTTAGTAAAATAGACCAACAAGGACATCACGTCTATAGTGCTGGCAATTCCATGAGTTGACAGAACTGACATATTTTCACTTCATTAGTTTCAGATATGCAGAGAACTAGTCTTGCATTCTTCTGGAGAAAGGAGAGGAAATAGGTAATGATATCTGTGCTGTTTGAAATATTTGATTTTTCAATAAATAATTTTCAAAATTGTCTCCTTACCAGTGTAATTAATAGAATAGCTGTTTGGATCCAGAAATTTTTTTACTAGTTCACAGTTGGATAGGATATGATTCGAAGTAATCACATTGAGATAGTTCTGAAGGCCCTTCTGTCTTTCAGCAATGAATTCACGGTCCATATTTCCAATCAATTTTTTGGGAGGAAGAGGTAGGCTAAGAGCAGAAATCTTGAAAACAAGAACAGGCCTAGTGAAAACTACTAGTACAAAATATAGTTCTTTACATCTGCAACAAAAAAATGCAACCAATATCCCATCTTACGAAAGTATTGACTGGGTTCATACATTGCAAAAACTTTATTTGTTTGTTTGTTTGTTGTTGCCGCCTATTTGCCCATGGCGACTCAATGATGGTTTGCTGGTTTACTGCAATACACTAACATAGTCTTTCTGATGGTTTCTAGCTTAAATGTAAATTAGGCGCTGTGGCTCTTTCAATGAACCAAACTTACAGAAAATCATGGTGTTCTGACCCAGCTCCCCAAACACGACCCACCCTCTGAAATTAACTCAAAGATTCCTTGATTCAGAGTGCCAGCAGCCCTGGCAAAAAGTTTCTCTCTCAATGGAGGCTAACAAGTCCATCTGGCTGGAAGATGAATAGATGTCTGCCACATCTATTCATCTCCGCCCCCTGCCTTTTATCCCCAAAGCTAGGGTGGGGCTTCGCAAACAGCAGTGGCTCTTCCATCCCAAGGATCGGCTCGCAGATTTCCACTGCTCTCCTCTCCTCTGCTTTCTGTACATCCGCATGTCAAGTACTGGACCCAGTTGTTCCTCCTCTTCCTCATCAGCCACCTCCAGACCTGGGGGCTGACAGACGGCCCAGTCTCCACCTCTGTCTGTCTATCTATCTGTCTGTCTGTCTGTCTGTCTGTCTGTCTGTCTGTCTGTCTGTCTGTCTGTCTCTCTCTCTCTCTCTCTCTCTCTCTCTCTCTCTCTCTCAGCTCCATTCTCTCTTTCCCTTCAGAGCTCTCAGGTTGCCTTGATGCTGATCCTGACACCCACACTTCCTCCTCCTCTAATTCAGCTGCTGGAGGGGCCGGCGGCCGATAGGCCACAACATATGACTTCAAATGTCTTGATAAACGAAGCATGTTGGTTTCTATAAGAAGGTATACTCATAATCCTCAACTTATGGTTCAGTACCTGTTCAAAGTTATAACGGCACTGAAAAAAGTGACTTATGACCATTTGTCAGTTATGACAATTGCAGCATCCCCATGGTCATGTGATCAACATTTGAATGATTGGAGACTGGTTCATATTTATGATGGTTGCAGTATTCCAGGGTCGTGTAATCAACTTTTGCAACATTCTGACAAGTAAAGTCAATGGGGGAGCCAGATTCGTTTAACAACTGTGTAACTAACCTAACAACTGCAGTGATTCACTTAACAATTGTGGCAAGAATGAGGTAAAATTTACTTAACATCTATCTTGCTTAGCAACAGAAATTTGGGGCTTAATTGTAGTCCTAAATCAATGATTATGTATAACTTCCCACAGATCTAACCACCCTTTGAGAGTTGTATGCAATGAAATTTCATTTTAATGTATGCCAATTAGAGTACATTCAAAGGGACAATAAAGTTATTCTAAGTCTAAGTCTATCAGGACGTAGTGAAGGATGCTGTTCAGTAACATGAGAGGGTCAAAGGTTCTCTTTGCCCTACAAAGAATAAAGGCTTCCGATTAAAGATTTATATTAATTCATTAGCAATAAAATGGCTGGTTTTAGTAACAAAGCAAAGATACATTCCTAAATATACTCTGATGGTTTTATGTCACCTGAAGAAACTACATCACGTAAAGCAAATGAAACAGTATGGCAGCTTTTGGTCAAAACCTTGGTTTTTTTGGGGGGGAAAGTGGAATGAAGATAGACTGTGCATGTCAGCAGTCTCTATATCTTTAGCAAAAACTATAGAAAAGATTTCAAAATTATTTCCTGTCAGTGTTTGACTCATTCTTTCATATTAAGGGAAAACAATTAAAGATCTTAGAACTGCTAGTTCTAGGGAAAATGGTTTACATTGTGACGTACTTCTATTATCGCTAACTCATCCACCTTTTTAGCTCTTTTTTTGACTCATTATATACATTAATGTAATTCAGAGAACATCATAGCAATTAAAGATGTAGATGTGATTAATGAATTAAACTAAACATATGAAATAACTCTTTTGAAGCCTGGGGTTTGGCAAAGGGAATAATCTTGTACACTGTAGAGAAGAAATTTATAATCCAGATGTTACAGAGTAGATTCACAAGATGTGCTGCTTATCAATTTTGGAAATGTATAGATATATTAAAAATGAAAAGATGGAGCAATGATTTTACATAGTCTAACTGTAATAATATACTAAAGAACTGATTCTATATTAATTAGTTCTATGCTGCTAGAAATAAAAAGGATCCATATTTTATGGTCCCTTTTTATTTCTTTAGTACTGTTGTACTGTTTTGGTTTGTTTATATTTTTGTTGTTACATTCCACCAAATTTTTAATAAATCTACATTTTAAAAACCACTTAACCCTTAAGTCATTCACTGTTATAGAATATGGAGAATAACTTCACTGCTAGCACATAACACAAAATTAATATTTATAATGGGATGGAAGTTTTTTTGATATTGATGTAAAGAAAGGTATCCTCAAGATGCAAATTTTGGTGGGGGGATTAGGGTGTTTTGGGGTCTTAAGGTACACTTAATTATTTTCAGAAACAGCTATTTCTTTTCAAAAAGGGAAAAGAAAAGGAAAAAGGATAAAAAACAACCCAGATTATCAGTTCATACAGAAACAGGAAGGAAAGTTCAGAGCTTTTGTGAGTACAGCAGAACTGTTTCTTCCCTTAATCGCAGGAATGTTTTTGACAGAAACTCTGAAATCATTCTCAGAAAAGGAAATCATACATTTGATTAATGCATTTCTCAACAGTTTTGAAATAACAATAAATTCTGCTGAAGCTAGCTGAGGAAATGTTTTATATTTCTGTTATATTTATCTAAGTCTGAACAAAGCTGGAATGATTAACTTCCAGGATGCCCGTGTTGATCAGAAAAAGCAGGGATGTATTACAGAGATAGGATTCAGAGTCATCATTATACATCCCTCAGGAAAATTTGTTAATGCTTTAAGTCCATGCTATCATGTCCGCTGTGTGTTACACAACCTTTATCCAAAAAAGTAGTGTAGCAATAATTACCAAGCCAGACATGAATTGCAGTACTATTGTGAAAGAGCATAATTATCCTTGAACTTAGGAACAATCTAAAAAACAAACTGTACTCAGTGTTGGAGGAAGTTCTTTTAAAAGAAATTGTTTACTGATGCCAACGCAGAAAAAATATTGATTTTTAGAATAGTGCATCTAGTGTCTTGTTCATTCATTACAACCAAAGAGGAAGATGGCAGGTTAAAAAAATTCCTTCTCACTTGTTAAAATTTTCACCTTCCCATGGAAACAATGAATTTAAGTCAGTCAGTCTCAGAAGTGACATAAATTATATTACGCTTATAGTCCTGTAGATTTATCTTGTTACTTGATTGCCATTACTTTCAGAATAGCATAAGCAACAATAAATGACCACCACTATGAAAGGACATGCATAGAGATGAAAGCCTCCAATATCTAATGGTCTCTCAGATTCCCAATGAAACAATATAAAATGGGCGTTGGTAGAAGTTACCGTGAACGCCCTTTCTATCTATGCTGCGAGAGAGCCCAGGATGGCTTGACTCCTTCCTATGACGTCATAGCTGAGTCTGTACTAAGATATAAAAGCCAGCCCCCGGGAGAGACCCCAGCTTTGGCGAAGATACTTGACAGACTGAAAAGTGTCTCTGAAAGCCCAAAATAAATACAGAAATATGTCTTACCCTCTCCGGACAAATCAAGGGAGGGGCTGGGCTCTCTCGCAGCATAGATAGAAAGGGCGTTCACGGTAACTTCTACCAACGCCCATTCTCCTCCATGCTGCATCGAGAGCCCAGGATGGGACATACCAAAGCTTGCATTGTCCACAGGCAGGTCCTCGTCTGGCTCATCACACCGACTGTGGAACCACTCGTTGAAGCACCCGTCTGCCGAAGGCTGCAGTCGCCGAGGCAAAAGCATCCAGACGGTAGTGTCTGATGAAAGGAGACGGGGATGTCCATGTGGCCCGACAAATCTCCTCCAAGGATGCTTGGGTCGCCCAGGCCTCGGGGAACTGGAAGGGCAGCAGATTTGTAGGCCTGCTCAATGCAAGACCTGACCCACCTGCTAATAGTAGGAGAAGAGGCCTTGTGCCCCAAGTGAGAAGGGAAAAAGGAAACAAACATGGCTTCTGACTTCCTGAAGGAGGAAGTGCGCTTAATGTATATTCTAAGAGCTCTTCTTACGTCTAGCGTGTGCCACTGCCGCTCTAAGTCATGGTGTGGGAGAGGACAGAAGTCAGGCAAAACAATGTCCTGGGACCTGTGAAACCAGGTGTTAACCTTCGGAATAAATGAGGGGTCCAGACGAAGAACAACCCTATCATCGTGAAAGGAACAAAGGTCCTGTCTGATGGAAAGAGCAGCAAGCTCGGAAACCCTCCTGGCAGAAGTGATGGCAACAAGGAACACTACCTTCAGAGTCAGGAAATGGAGAGACACTGTTCTAAGGGGTTCAAAGGGGGGCTTTGTAAAGGCATTAAGGACCAAATGAAGGTCCCAGGAAGGATACCTGTGAACCACCGGAGGGTGCAGGTTGGAAGCCCCTTTCAAAAACCTCCTGACTGAAGTGTGATGGGATAAGGAAGGAAGCTAACCCCATGAAAGGACCGAGGAGAGGGCCGCAACCTGCCTGCGTAAGGTGTTGGGGGCAAATCTTTCTCCAGCCCATGCTGAAGGAAGCTAAGAACGTCTGCCAACTGGACTGAAGCAGGAGAAAGACCCTCCCTGAGGCACCATCGGGAAAAAGCCTTCCAGGTAACATCATAGACGCGCCTTGTAGAAGGTTTGCGAGAAGCCAGGATAGTGAGGATGAACCTTTCTGGAAGATCAGCCTCCTCCAGCCGCTGCCGCGCAAGTGCCACATGGTCAGCTTGAACCACTGGGGCTCTGGGTGGAGCAGGGCCCCCTGGTGAAGGGAGATTAGATGGGCAGGGATCCTCCAAGGAGAAGCTACCGATAGGTTGACCAGGTCCGCAAACCAGGGCCTCCTTGGCCAATAGGGTGCCAGGAGGAGGAGCTCCGCACGTTCCTCCAACATCTTCCGAATTACTGCCGGAATGATGGGAAGCGGGGAAAGGCGTAGGGGAAACCCTTGGGACATCTGCACCGAAGAGCATTGGTCCCCTCCGCTCCCTGGCAAGGAAACCTGGTGAAGAATCTGGTGACTTGGGCGTTTTGAGGAGTGGAGAAAAGATCCACCTCCAGTGTTCCGAATCTGAGGGAAAGATCCCTGAATAGAGACGGAGGAATGGACCATTCTGCCTGGTCGACTAGGTTCCTGCTGAGCCAGTCGGCCTGGGAGTTGTCGAACCCGGAGGTGTAGTCCGCCGAGATCGATAACAGGTGTTTCTCTGCCCATAACCCCATTGTAGAGCCTCTCTCATGAGGGCTTTGGACCTCGTCCCCCCTTGCCGGTTGACATGAGCCTTTGCGGCCATTTTGTCCGTAAGGACTAGAACATGAGAGCCAGTCACTGATTGCCTGAAATGCTTGAGAGCCAGAAAAATGGCTCTGAGTTCTAGCCAATTTATGAGAAGGGTCTGTTCCGATCTGGACCAAACGCCCTGGGCTATCTGGCCCTGCATATGGGAACCCCAACCCAGGAGGCTGGCATCGGTGGTTATCACTAGCCTGTCTGGGTCCCTGAACAGGAGTCCCCTCCAGATAGATGGGGAATGCCACCAATTGAGAGATCTCCGGATTTGTGGCGGGAGTGGGACCTTGATGGATGAGTGGCTGGTTTCTGCTCGTTGGTAGGGAAGCAGGAGCCATTGGAGGGCTCGGGAGTGGAGCCGAGCCCATGGGATGATACCAATACAGGAAACCATCTTCCCCAGAAGTTTGGACAGCAGTGACAGGGGGACAATTTGATGTTGCTGGATCTGGCTGATGATCTCTGCAAGCTCTTTCCACGAGCTGGGGACAGGACAACCTGGCATGACATGGTATCAATGGCTGCTCCCAAGTGTTGCAATTTGGTTGTAGGAGAGAGCTGGCTCTTTTTGGTGTTGATGGAAAATCCTTGGCTCTGGAGACATGACAGGGTAATTTGCAGATCCCGATGGGCCGCAAGGATGGAAGAGGAAAGAATCAAAATGTCGTCCAAGTAGCATTGGATCCTCACTGGAATAGAATGCAGAGATGCCACCAATGCTGCCAGAACCTTTGTGAAGAGCCTTGAAGCTGATGAGAGGCCGAAGGGAAGTGCTCGATACTGGTAATGGGTATTCTGATAACAGAAACGGAGAAACTGGCGATGATAAGGCCAAATTGGGATGTGGAGGTAAGCCTCAGTGAGATCAATGGAAGAGAGGAGATCGCCCTCCCGAATGCTCTCTAAAATAGAATGCAGAGTCTGCATTTTAAATTGCCTGCATTTTACAAATTGGTTGAGAAATTTTAGATCAAGGATGGCTCGCCACCCCCAAGACTTTGGGAATGATGAAAAGGCGAGAGTAAAGCCCACGTCCCCGTTGAGACGCGGGAACAGGTTGAATAGCCCTGATTTCAAGAAGGTGCTGAATGGACTGGTTCATGAGGGCTTGCCTGGAAATGTCCTGAGACACAGGACAGATCAAAAATATTTGGGGTGGGGTGGGGTTAGGAAGTCCAATTGTAACCCCGACCTAATAGTGCTGAGCACCCAGGCGTCCATCCCATTTGGAGGCAAAGAAGGCTAGGCGACCTCCGATGGGTGGGGAGAACGAGGGATTACTTAGAGCAACGGAAGGAACGACCCCCTCTCCCCCGAAAGGGCCGTTTACCAGTAGAAGGTTGTTGCCTGCCAGATGTTTCCGCCCGTTGGTCTTGGCGTTGGGAGTAGGCCTGTGCGAGCGGGGGAAGCGAGATGAGGTCTCCGCTCGGAAGGCAGGAGGGCGATAAGGAGCAGGGCGATAGTCGGCTTTCTTCCCAGAGGAAGAGAGAGAGAGAGAGAGAGAGAGAGGAGAGAGAGAGCCCTGCTCTCCTGGGAGCTGCTTGAAGAGAGGAAAAAAGTACTGAAGATCGCTGGTGATTGCTATCTAACAGAACGCTTTCAGAGACACAGCTACTGACTGAAAGGAGCTGAGTCAAAAGCTGGGGTCTTTCCCTGGGGCTGGCTTTTATATCTTAGTAGAGACTCAGCTATGACATCATAGGAAGGAGTCAACCCATCCTGGGCTCTCGATGCAGCATGGAGGAGAATTGTTTATATATACCGGTAAGCTTTCATTTTTATATTTGCGATATATTTCTTATACTGTCCATCAACAAAGTACTTGAATGCTTCACAAATTAGACCTGAAAAAATATATCCATCTTTGAAATTCAACATACTGTATTTTTTAGTCCAGCCCATGCTGAGAATGGACACAGACTAGTAATGTGCATTTCCACTATATGGCAGGGTCAGTGAATGAAACCATATTAACACAACTCTTCTGCTATTAGTATCTGACAAGGCATGAGTAGCAGCAAGGGAATTGTTGAAAACAACTATAATGTAGCTACCAACTTCCTTCTTCTGCCTGCAAACCACTAGACACTTTAATATACATTCTCTCTCTGGTACTTTCCCACACACGCTAAAAGAAACCAGTGTCCTGGAAAGTAAAAACACACAATTACTGCAGTGTTTAAAAAGCAAAAGGACACTATTTCACTGCACAATAAATAGCACCATTCAGAAAGGCCTTTCAAAATTGATAAAATGGTTCTCTACCCTGCATGTCAGGACTTCATATTAAAAGATCAATATGACTTTCGCTTTTGTAGCAATGAACAAGAAGAGACTTTAAATTATTGAGTGTCAACACTTGCAACTTTCCCACATTCAGATTTTACTCTTCCGTAATCACTTATAGATTGTTCTAATATCTATAGCCTGGCTTAATCACTGAATTAACACTCAGCTAGCCGCTAAGATTTCACATCTTGTTTTCAATTTTCTCAAACACTTCTTGTCTCCCCAACAGTTAATCCCGATTATATAAATATCTATTTTGAGATAATTTCAAAAGAGATATTTAAAATGTATGCCTGTTTACTTATTTAAAGTACAGATTTCTATCAGAAAATGTAATCACAAATCAATGTAAAAATTCTGAGTGAACACAAACAAAATTGATATAGCTACCATATACAAATCAAAAAATTAAAAACAGTTTTACATAAAAAGAAAACTAGTTTACCTGCAAAGTGTTATTCAGCAAATCAAAATCACTGTATCTTCGTATAATCTGCAAAATAATATTTTATTATGAGTTGAGTACAACTCATTCAAAAATACACTTTAAATCTCATCTAACATGTAATTCAGACTTAAGTTCAAAATTATCCTATTGGCCCACGTTTGGAAGATTTCATGACAAGAAGGATAAATGCCAATATCAGACATGAAATTTTTCAGGAATTGGAAAAAACAAAAACTACTTTCTCCTCTACACAGAGCCTGTAAGAGCAAAATTGTTTCAATTTAACTACGCAAGGAATAATAGAATGTGCATAGGGAAGTTTAATGCTTGACTAATGAGATGAATAATGAGTAATTATTTCCACGTGCATTTACAAAATTGGGCCTCTTTTGTCTGGAACAAAGGAAAGAAAGAAAGAAACGGAGCAGCATGATAAAGGTGTTTAAAATTAGGTATGGTTGAGATAACAGACTTTGTCTTCATTCTCTTATACAATACAGCTAAAACCTGAGGTCATTTAAACTAAAATGCAGGATTATTCAGGACCAATAGGAGGAAGAACTTGTTCATGCAATGGATAGTTAAACTGAGGAATTCACTGCAGGTAATTGTGTTATGGTAATTAATTTGGGTAACATTAAAAGATGACTGGATAGGTCCTGGAAGATTAGACTATCAATGATTCCTGATATTAATACTGGTAGCTGTTTACTATCTTAAGAACCATAAGTAGCAAGTGCCTGAAATCTTCTCTCCTGGGAAGGAGTATCAAAAGGAAAATTTGGAGCATCTGGCAACATTGAGACTTGTGACTTCTCAAAAATATCTGGGCCCTTCATAAAGAACGCTAGACTAGCTGAGATTGTGTTCTAATCCAGCAGGGCTCTTTATGGGTAATAAAAATATTTCTCCTATGAAATCTGTGCCTCTGGAACAACTAATATCTGCAAGGATGCTAATTAGCAGCACCCTCTGTCCTTCTGAGATAAAATACAGGACCAGCTTCTTAAAACAACACTGAAAACTTTGGCATTCTCGCATATCACAGGCCTGCTAGTTTCAAAGGATGAAGCTATCCGGTTTCTCCCTGAGGGTGATACATCTTTTCCTTACTCCATCTCCTCCTCTTATCAGCTATAAAACCATTTCTTCTTTGTATCTGTGTCAGTCAAGTATGCTACATGTCTTTGATCAGTATCATAAATAAGAATTATGCAGCCTTATAACTCTTGCTCATGGCTGTTCTGGATGCAAGCAACCAATGATTCATTATATCTTGCCAGCTTTAGATTTTTTTTAAGAGTTATGGGATCTTCTCCAGGAGTTAGCATTTCATGGATGAGTTTTTCATCACAAGAGAAAAGCAACGCTTTAAAGATATTTGAAAAAGAGCAAAAGAAGATAAAGATGATTAATGTTGCCTTTCTCCTATAGCAGCAGGTGGAAAGATCATCTGCTAACTGTATAGAGATTCCTATTCACTCCATGCTAGATTGGTGAGACTCAGATAGCACCAACCTACTTTCTTCAAGACAGACAATGCAAAGAATCTGGCTACTGTTCACATCCATTAGGTGAGAGAACTTTTATTTTAAATAAAACTTTTGGAAGGGTTCTTATTCTGCCATCATCTGCTGGTCCTGTCTCTATGCTTGCTGCCTACTGTAGCCTGGACTTCATAATTTGAGAGAGGACAGGGATAATAAAATCATTGTAAGCCGGTCATGTCCTAGAGTTAGCTCCATTACTCTTTAAAATAGAGTATCCTTATTACTAGCAAACCACAGAAAAAATATCTTATGAAAGTATAAGTTTAACACTAAGGAACAGAATTCGGTTTATCTCAATATGCACTGGGGCTCTTATTCCAATTTCAAGATCAGGGGGAGAAAAATCTATACAGGTAGTCCTTGATTTACAACCGGTGGTCACTTAACAACCACTGGAAGTTATGACAGGCTTTTAAAACAACTACTTACAACCTGTCACATTTCAGGTACTTGGCAACTGCCTGGCATTTACAACTGGTTATAATGTGCTGGAATCATATGATTGCAATTTGTTTTCTGCTCTTCTGTGCCTATTGGATATACTAGATTCGTTTAACAACTATGTGGTTTACTTAACAACTATAGTGACTTTCGTTATGACCATTGTTAAAATGGTCATAAAATCAAATTTGGTCACATGATGCCTTGATTTTATCACCACAATGACTAACGGCCAAACTCCAAGCTTCATCGTGATAAGGAAGTCAAGGGCTGCCTGTAATAGACTTTGGCTTTACTGGTCTTAATTACTTTAGAGTTACATAAAAACTAGTGATGATTTAGCATGAACCAACTGAGTTATGGCCAAAGAAGACTGAATATGAGAAAGCAGAAATAATGAGCTAAGCTCTGATCTTACCCCACAACATCTTTCATTCAAAAAATATTTATACGAAATGATTCTAAAAAAACTGGTTATACAGCAAAAATACTGGATTATCATAGTTCAGTTGAAAAAAATCTGTTACAATTTATATTAAGAATTCAAGTAGTTTACCTGCCAGCTGTTTTCCATTGAAATCCCTCTTTGTACACGAATAATATATTCCTGGAAATTACAACACATATAACATGTTATATGATCTGTCAAATGAAATTCAATAGTGCTTTTAAAATAATTTCAGTGTATTAATGGATTAAGACAAACTAGGCCCTTTAAAAGCCACTATAGCCCTGAGCTTGCTTGACAACTATGTAATTTTCCAATGTTAACATTAGGGCCCATCTTGCAGCCTACTCACCTGTCTGTACTAGTTTATTAGGGCATGTTTTATTTCGTTTCTTCACTTGTTGTTTTTTTTCATCACAATGAATTGAACAGTTGGATTCCTCATTATAAAATTAAAATCTCTCCTACTTTTAGGATGAACAAGACAATTCATACCTCACAAGTCATTGTTTCAGAGACATTTATTTACCTAAACAGAGAAACAAAATGACCATGGGCAGGCAAAAAAGCAGTGGGAGCAGGAGTGACTTCCAACTTCCTGTTGGCTTTTTGTGGGGATCTGGCAAGGAGCATTGGCCATGTTCCTAGCAAGCAGGGAAGTGGCAGGATGGAGGGAGGAAGGGATTGTGAGACTGGCTGGGAAACTGTCACAGAATGTTGAAAATGAAAATCACATAACCACAGCAGCAGCCAGTAGCACTGAAACAGCCACAACTTTGTGATAATTCGCTTCTTCAGAATCTATGGGGCCTGGATTTTGGACACTTATTAATTAATCCATTTTGAGGAACCTTGGTTTAAAAATTGTTGCCTTATGGTGTATTGTTTCACCCAGTCATGACATCATTTCACCCAGGTCATAACAACATGAGTTTTAGTAGAATATAATGTTTGGAGAGGAAGAGGTTCCTTCCAGAAATTTCACACCAATGGGATTAGGCAAGACGCGTCTGCTAATTGGGATAAAATTATGATAAATGTAAACAAAATATTAAAATGCAAAAACATCACAATAACAGTATGAACTATCAGGGTCATGTAGCATGTTGGTATGAAAGCTGAACCATCAGAAAGGCTGAATGAAGCCAAATCGATGCTTCTAAATTGTAGTGTTAGAGAAGCAGTTATTGGTAAACCTTGGTTAACAGTGGGAATTGGGACTGGAAACTCCTTCACCAAGCAACACAATCATAAAGCATGATTTCACCGATTGCAATAAAGTTACAACAGCAGTTCCAGCTGTAGTCATTATGTGAATCCTAAAACTTACTAGGTACAACATCACGGGATCTTTATTTGCAACCTCCTGCTGGCTTCTCCATTGACTTTGCTTTGTCAGAAGCTGGCAGTGATGGTCACAAATGGCAATCGAGTGATCACAGGATGCTGTGATGGCCACAACAGTGAGGACTGGCCATAAGTCTTCTCATTTAGCACCATCCTAACTTCAAACATTCTCTGAATGAATGCTTGTTATCCAAGGTCTACCTCCACTGAAAGGCAAACTGATGTTGCATTGTGTCAAAGGAGGAAGAAACTGTATGACAACAATATCCAGGTGGCTATTTCTCCCACTGTTTCTTAATACTGCATTCTTAAGCCATTAAAAACAAGCAAATTTCAAGTAAAATGTACCAAGAATGTAACATATACAACACATGAGTATTACACCAAGTATTTATTTTGGATTTTACCTCACATGACAATTCTTCTTGAACATATAATTCTCCTTCACCTCTACTGGATGGACTACTACAGGTAATCCTCAACTTTCGGCCACAATTGAAACCAAACTTTCTGTTGTTAAGTGAGACATTTAAGTTAGTTTTGCCCCATTTTATGACCTTTCTTGCCACAGTTGTTAAGTGAATCACCGCAGTTGGTAAGTTAGTTCCCCATTGATTTTGCTTGTCAGAAGGTTGCAAAAGGACCCCGGGACACTGCAACCGTCATAAATATGAGGCAGTTGCCAAGCATTTGAATTTTGATCACATGATCACGGGGATGCTATAAAAGTCCTAAGGGTGAAAAATGGTCATAAGTCAATTTTTTCAGTGCCATTGTAACTTTGAACAGTGACTAAATGAAGTCGAGGACTACCTGTATTAGTATGAGAACTCCAATATTCCAAATACTAAAGACAGAAAGCATGGAAAACACCCTAACATTTCTGTATAATGTAATATCCTATGAAATGTTTCTTCTGCCTTCTGCAGTAGAATATTTGCTTGCCAAAAGAATTATTATACCATTCGTTTTTAACAGATAATTCAGCAAGTAATAATTTATATTCTTTCTATCTATTTTTGAAGGAAAAATCTTACCAAAGATCTAATGGTAATTTATGGTTCCATGCGACCTCAATATATTCATTTCTATTCATCTATTGAATAACCAACTCCACAAGACCCTGGGCTGCATGTAACATTAAAAACAATGTAAATAAGAATAATAAAAAATAAAACATTCAACTAATCTATGAGGACTTGAGTTGTTAGTTGATCATGTGAGAGCACATTTTCTCTCCTGCGTCACTGATTTTAATAAAATGTTAGTACTACAGAGAGATTAACTACCCAAAGAAATATTTCTGATTGCCATTCTTAAGAATCTTAAGTACTCATGTTTAGCCACCCCAAGAAAACTGCTTCTGGCATTTCAAACAGATCTTTATCTGTAATCACCAACATGTGAAAACAGAATGAAAATGACATTTCAGTGCATCAGTGGTGAAATGGTAAACTTATATAGGAAGCAAACAGCATTTTTCTATTAAAGGCAATACTAAAACTTGTAAAATTAGACTGTTCATCACTATTGATCATCTGCTACATGACACTTAAAATCTCAGCTGTCTATCTTCATTGCCCTCAGCTGTCAAAAAGAACTAAATAAAGCACCAAATTTATGAAGAAATTCTAAAAACAAACTTACTACAATTCTGCATGTAGTCAAAAACAAATAAGCAACAGATAGCTGATGTGTACCATAAAAAGCTAGCTATTTGTTATATTGCATAAATTATAATCCCTGTATTAAATGGTTAATATCTCATGCTTAAACATTCTGCTCTATACACAGACTTATCAAATTTCTCCTATGATCTTTAGCAGAGAAAGTGTTTTGCTGTCTACCATTGATAATTTAGATTTTGCTCTACAAAAAAAACTAGCCAATTACTTTGGCCCACGAGTAAAAAGCTTATATAGAACAGCAGATAGAGCTTTCAGAAGAATCTTTTCCCTTTTGTACCTAAAGATAATTGATATGTTCAGGTAGCTCAACAAATAAAGCATATTATTGGGAAAGGGGTTAATAAATTGCATGCCTTTATTTACAATTAACTAATAATTTACTGAGCCTAATAATATACATCAAAATAAAGCTGAGAAAGCCAAATAAAACAAGGAGCAATTAAGGGAATGAACCAGAAATCTGAGATTAGATCAGGACAAAAGCTTATTACAAGTAGACCAACTTATCTCAGCTACACAGAAAAAGAAAAACTTTGTATGTACAGGTCAATTAAAGGCCCTTATTTCAATATTCCCAAAACTAGATTGCATTGTAGCTCCTAAGGGCGTATTTCCTGACTCAGTACTGAAGCTAAACAGGTCTGGAACAGCTCAGCACCCAAATATGAAATTGCATAGAATCCCTGCCGTGGATTCCACAGAAGAAAAACAGAAATATAAATGAATAAATCATTCAGAGATGTAAACAAGCACAAATGTGATCACGCATGACTAAACCCAGCCTACTTTAGTCTTCTCTTCTTCCGAAGTTCATGTAACATCTTGCTCCTCATATGATGCTAGCCTGTCTCACTGCTCTCATGCAAGTCATTTGCTCACTGATCATATGATAAAAGCAGCTGTGATCAAAGATCTGTTGTAAGAGAAGAGTAATCTGATACATTCATCAGAACACACAGAAACTACCAGATAATAGGCAACTGCTTAGCATAAAATATTGTAACATTTAACTGAGCTCTATCCTGGTTCATGGTGCTTACAGATAGACTGAAAGGAAAGTTTCCTTTAATGTTCTGGTTGTTGTTTAAAAATGGCTCATTTATGGAAATATTAGGGGATATTGTTTCCAGTGCCCACACACTGAAAACACATGATTTTATTCAGCAAACTCATATGATATTAGGAAGCCAATTTTCACATATTTAAAGTCAAGTTTATGGAAAATAAGGTTGTGAACTGACTGCTCAAGCTGGTTGTTGGAACAGCAAATCGGAATTGAACATTGAGTTACGAGCCAGGTCTGTTTTCTGCAGGGCTATCAAAAAAGAAAACCAAGTATGTTTTATGAATGGTAAGGCAAATGTGTCAATGTTTTTTATTTAGTAGCTGCTTCTGCAATTTTGAGAACATGCTGCAAACATTCTCAGAAAGTATCTTGGAAGGACTGCCTATTCACAAAAATGGTTCAGTTAAAAGCATGACCAGAATACAGCCTAATGAGATTTCTATCCCTCATTTCTTATAGATCCTCACAATCACTTTATTACTAGTGCTTATCTTCAGTTTTGGTTTTTTTCTGGGCAGGTGAGCATTTTTCCACCAAAGTATTTGTCTATAACCACCTGATCACGATACTTACGAGGTCTAGGTAGGAATCACAGAAATTTTGTAAATAAAGAGACTGATAGTTGGAAATTTAGTTTGCAGCATGCTTTTGTTTTTTTGCATAGCTCAATTCAATTCAGAATAGAGCTGAAAGGGACCTTGGAGGTCTTTTAGTCCAACTCACTGTTCAAGCAGGAGACCCTATACCCGTGATGGCGAACCTATGGCATATGTGCCATAGGTGGCACACAGAGTCATTTGTGCGGGCACAAGAGCCCCAGCCAAACTTACCTGCACTGCACATGCGCGCGCCTCCCAGCTGATTTTCAGCCTGTTTGAGGCCTTTTTCTGTGTCCCAGAGGTTCGAGGAAAGCCTCTGCAGCCTTTGGAGACCGAAAAACAGGCCAGTTTCATCATTTCCTGTATTTCTGGAAATACAGGAAGTGATGAAACGGGCCTGTTTTTCGGCCTCCAAAGGCTGCAGAGGCTTCCCTTGAGCCTCTGGGAGGCCGAAAAAGG